CGGGGGCCTCGCGGGTGACCCCTCGTCTGTGTACTCACTCGCGCGTGCACTCGCGTGGTCACTAGGTCGGCCCCTCGGCTGCTTACTCACGCGCTGCTCCGTCACTGCCCACTCGCTCTCCACTGTCTGTTCCTTTACTCCCTGCGGTCTCGTTTGCTCACGTGCTCACTTCCTGGCACCTCGCCATCAACCTAGCACCTCCACGGTGTGGCCTGTCCCGGGCAGTGATGTGTGGTGGCCGAGGTGGGCAGCCCGGGCCTGAGCGCCGCACGGCCCGCCCAGGCCTGGAGGGTGTCCAGCTATGCCTCTGCTGTCTCTGTTTCTAAGTGACTCCTGAAATGAATGTGGGCTGCTCACGAGATGAAGGGGGAGGCAGGGAAGCAGCCCGCCCTGCCCACCCCTCACCTGCTGTCCCGCCCACCCGCAGGGGAGAAGCCACACAAGTGCCAGGTGTGCGGGAAGGCCTTCAGCCAGAGCTCCAACCTCATCACGCACAGCCGCAAGCACACGGGCTTCAAGCCCTTCAGCTGTGAGCTGTGCTCCAAGGGCTTCCAGCGCAAGGTGGACTTGCGGCGGCACCGTGAGAGCCAGCACAGCCTCAAGTGAAGCCCGCCTGCCCATCCTGAGGTCCTGTGCCGAGCAGCCAGCCTCACACACTCGGATCCCCAACTTTCTGGAGGTGACACTGGACTGGAGTCCATGAAATTGCTGTGTGACCTTGGGCAAGTCACCTTCCCTCTCTGGACGAATGTACCTGCTGCCACATGTTTGGGAGTGGGGCTGAGTCTCTGAGCTGAAGTTGTCTATGGCGGGTTCAGGTACAGTTCCCAGCAGAACACAGGTGCACCTGGTGCCAAGAATGGACCAGGCCTGGGACCCACAGAGAAGTCCTCCTCTGGCCTGCTACCCACTGGGCTGGCCCTGGTCACCTGGATTTTAGTGGGCTCTTCCTGGCTGACAGATAGAGCTGCCTCCCACCCAGTGGGAGGTCTGGCTCTCCTCTGCCTCAGCCAGCTGTGCCTCCCCAGCATCCTGCCGTCCTCCAGGATCCTGGCCCCATGGACAGGCGTGGGACAGAGAACGCAGCAGCCGTTGCTGCCACAGTTGTTCCTCTTGGCTGCTGTAAATAAAGATGAAGACACATTTCATTTACACATGATGAGCATTTATGAGGCGCCTGCTAGGCCCAAGATAGTCCACAGGGCATTCAGGAGGGAGCGCGGGATGTCGGAAAGCAGACGGGACAGGGATACGCACACGCGGCGGTGTACAGGCCAACAGCGCTACCTGCTGTGGTCACAGACGACGGTGCCTGCACAGAGAGACTGCGGGCAGCTGAGGCCAGTGCAGCCGTGACAGGCCACCACGACCAGGGGCTTCAAGCAACACAGATCTGGGCCAGCAGCAAGTGTGATGGTTAAGGCACTGGAATCCCACGTGGCAGACCACAGTTCGAGGCCCAGGCCTGGCAGCTTGAAAAATCACAACAAATAGATGATAGATAGACAGATGTTTAAATACACACACACACACACACACTGGGGCCAGCAGAGGGTGTAATGGTTTTGCGTCACTGGAGTCCCGCACAGTTGACCACAGTTCGAGTCTTAGACACAATGGCTTGAAACGCGTGTCGGGTGTGTGTATGTGTGTGCCCAAAATCCCAAGGGGAGAATGGAGGGGAAGGGATTACAGTGTGGCCATCTCTCCTGGGAGGGTGATTTCTCACTTTCTGTCTCACTGGTGAGCGCACATGCCCTATAGCAAAAAAAAAAAAAAGAGAGAGAGAGAGAGAAGGAAAGAAAAAGAACGAACACTCACAGATCTGTCCCTTATCATCTCGGAGGTCGCAAACCCAAAGTGATTCTGACAGGGCTGACCCGGGGTGTGTAGAGCTAAATTCTGGAGGTCCCACGAGCCCACGTCCTCGTCCTTTTCAGTGTTCGGGGGCTGCCTGCCTTCCTCAGCTGCAGCCTGACCTCTCTCGTCCCTTCTCCTGCCCCCAGAAAGGACCCTGGTGGTGGCCTTGGGCCTGACCAGGCGCCCAACGACCATCCCATCTCGAGGTCTGTAACGTAGTCACTGTGGCAGGCTGAATAGTGGCCCCAAAGACGATGACCTTTGCCTTCCATGGCAGCAGGCACTTAGCAGGGGTGACTCGGTTAAGCCCGGGGCTGCCACCTTGCTAGCTGTGTGACCGCAGGTAAGTCCCTGAGCCTCTCTGGGGCTCAGCTTCCTCCTCTGTAAGATGATAACATGTCAATCCCTTTCCATGCTTGTTGGAAAATGCCCTGGAAAGCAACACACAGGGTCCTGCACATGGCCGGCATGGCCAGCGCTGCAGAGTTGGCCACGTTCCCTGTCAACATCCCGGCTGTGACCCAAGGCCTGCTCCAAGGCCACCTTCTCCACAAAGCCTCCCTTGGTTACTGCAGCCAGAAGTTCCTCCTTCTCTGACGCCAAGTAGCTCGGGCTCCTTGCTTCCAGCTCAGGAGCGACTGGGTGTGGTGGCACTTATCTGTGGACACTGCCCCCTCTGTGGAAGGCCCCAGCACCACACCTGTGCTTGGCCCACAGCAGTGAGCACTTCTGAGTTAACCGCTTTCAGGCACTGAGCTGGGCTTAGCGAGGTCAGCCGTGGGAGAGTGCAGACAGTTGGACTTGCCCATCCCAGAGAGAAGGGCATTTCCCTGAGAAACTCCACGTCAGATGGTTCCTCTTTATGATGTCGTTTAACCTTGGGTTCATGAATCAACTTATTTAAAGTGTTTGGTCACAGGGCAACTTAGTAAGGCTCGCCCTGTCATGGCGACAACGACAGCATTCCTCATGCAAAGGCCCAGCTCCCATCAGCTGTGGACCCGAGACACCGTTTATGACAATCATCTGGTCCTTCCTGCCGTCAGAAGCGAAGGACAACTTTAAAGTGTTCAGACCCTCCGAGAGGACCAGAGGTGGCTGTACTTGCCCCAGAGCAGCTCTGCCACGCCCCCAAGGGTGCTCTCCAGGCCTCCGAAGCCAATACGCTTGGAAGGGAGCAGAGGGTGCTGTGGCCAAGTCACTGGGGAGTGCTGGGCTGGCACTTAGCAGAGTCGCAGACCACGCTGCGCCTTAGAGCTGCCGGCGAGGCCTACGCACGCATCCGTCTCCAAGAGGAGCCTGGGCATTCAGTGCTGGCTGAGCATTCAATGTGAGAGTCAGAGAGAAAAAAATAGAGTTGGGGGTCACCTGGCAGCAGACTAAGCTGGGATCAGAATGTGATCCAGTCCAGGCTGTGGGCTTCTCAGGGCCACTGTCCACCCTTCGGCCCACTGAGCCCCACTGGGATCTCCTCCAGGTGAGTCCGGCTCCTGCCCACCCTTTCTCCATGGTACAGCTCGTTCCATAGGCTCTTCCTGCTTAGCAGGAATTCCCCTAAACAAACTGCCAGGGACACCAGGCAGGGTGGGTGTGATTTGCATAGGACAGTGGTCTGACCCCAGCAGACTGCCCCATTGGTGTCCTGCAGGGCCCAGCTCTTGGGGTCAAGGGAGGAGGAACTATGGTAACCAGCAAAACCTTGCAGACCTCCTGCTCCCACCCTTCTCCTGCCGATGGGGACAATGATGTCCAGAGAGGGGAAGACGGGCCCAAAGCTGCACTGCCAAGGCCAGGCCTGGATGGGCTCCTGGTGGCCAGGGGAGGGAGAGTGGGAAGAGTGCGAGCTGTTGCACATGCTCACTTGCACATGCACACTTGCCCTTGCACACACTTGCCCTTGCACACTTGCCCTTGCACACACTTGCACTAGCACACACATGTACAAAGCAGGAGCTGCTTTGCATGATCCTTGTTTGCTAAACAAAAACACACCATTATCAGGTGTTCAGCCACTTATGTGGGGGTAGAAGCCCCGCCATAGGGGAAGCTAGGCAGGCAGGAGGCGGTCTGCAGGGAATCCGTGGAGCTGGCTGCCAGGGAAGCTTTGGTGCCTGGCTGGGAGGCTTGACCGGGGGCCTGGGACTTGCTCAGACTGTATCCCGCGCCCACTGCCCTGAGTGGGAGAGCACCTGTCATGATCACGCAGCTGCTGGTGCCCCATGGCTGCCCGCCTTGGACTTCACAGCACAGCTGACCCCCCTGGGGGAGAGGCAGCCCCTGGAGGAGGATGCAGGTTAGCATCAGCCCACAAGCCAGTGGCAGGGGGTCC